TTGTAATAAAATTCGACTCGTAGAATAATTTTCAAAAATTGACTCGATGGATCTGCTAATGATACTCTGATTTGTGTACTCGAAGCTCTGCTGGTTCACTTTGTTGTACATTCAATATATTAACCTACACATTTAACATGAGATTAGTAAAATTGTTTAAATTAATTTGAAAAAAATAGTAATAATAAAAAATAATTATGAACAGTGTGGTTAATTGGAAATAGTAACATAGTATAATGATTTAGTAGATATAGTGTAATGAAATAGTAAAATATAGTATAATGAAATAGTGAAATGTAGTAATTTTACACTATATCACAATCAATAATCTATAAATAGTATAAATTTTAATGATGAATGAAAATGGTAATTAAGATATAGTAGAATTAGAATTTGCTTTGAATATTGTAAATATTGATTTTGAATATAGTAAATATTAAGAATATAGTTGTAAAATGTGTGATCAAATAGGACATAGAAAATAGAAATAGTAACTTGTAAGAAATGGTAGATTTAGTAAATATGATACTTTCACACACAAAACACAGCTATATTCTAGATTTAGAAAACAAGATATGGAAATACTTAAAATAGTAGGATATAGTAAAATATAGTATAATAATAAAAATATAATTGCAATTAGTGTGATTAATTTGGAAATAGTAGAAATAGTAATTGAAATGGAATATAGAATATGTAGTAAAATATCACACACTAGTTACAATTAAATTTTACTAATTAAAACATGGAAATATGGAAATAATTAAATATGGAAACTTTGATATAGAAAAATATGGAAATAACATGAAAATTTATATTATGATAAATATAGAAAGAAATAGAATGTCTAAAATTTGGTAATGACCGTATAATAACTCTAATAAAATATGTATAAGGTACTGTCCTGTAATGGCGTCCAAAATGCGTTCCTTTTAGTGTATTATGCCGTAATGACGGAATTCGGGCCAAAAGAACTTCGAATACGCTGTGGATGTCTGCGGCTTGTGTCCGATACCTGGGCCGTCCGATACAAGCTTTCCACGCTATACGTTTCTGTCCGATCCTTGTGTCCGATACGGAATACTTCCTTCGCTTATTTTGTGACGTCGATGGGTTTTTTTTTTAATTTTGTAAAATTTACAAAATATTACCTTACATTCAGGCCTATTTTTCAGTTCATCTCACAAGCTGCCACCAATGTTATATATTTGCCTTTAGCGATGAAGGTAATTTGATATTTTTAAACACACCACAAGTTTTTTTAAATTTATTACAGGATTAATTATACAAAGTTTCATTAAAGTTTACTATAGGGTTATGTGTGTCTTGACGTACAGATGGAAAGAGACTGGGCCTAGTGTTTTCTTGTAGGGGTCCTCTGTCTAGGCGGAAATATAGGGTCCATAGAAGGTAGATTGGAACTCAATAAGGGATGTAGAGTCCATAGATAAGTAATGAGTATGCGCATAGAGCCATAAATGCGACGGTAAAAATGTAAGGGTGTCGGCGCATAACAAACAGGACTGTACGTAATGGCGATTAGGTTATGACTGATGCGTTCAGAAGCTCTATATGGTTTTAAAAACTAATATTTAAAATGGAAAATCGTGCTTATTTGATGAGATTCGAATTATAGTTTATGTGGTATTGTTTAAAATTATTATTCACCGACTGTTTTCTTATTTTGCGATCAAAATGAAAAACTCCCGTAATAATGTACTATCCCGGAATAGTGTACGTTTACCTTAATTAAAAAACATTTTGACATTTTACCATAGTTTGAGTTTTGTCGAAAATCTACCACTCTAGAACAAAGACCATAGAGCAACGAATGCACGAGCGATTCGATGTGTTTCTATGATTCTACGGTTGGTAACATGATAAAGAAGCATGCATGTGTAAAGTGAGGTTATTGATCATTATTGACGTTTATTAATGGTAAAAAAGTGTAAAGTGAGGTTATTGATGATTATTGATGTTTATTAATGGAATCGTTTATGAAATCAAATTTACTTGAAAATAATTCTGCTTATTGAAAGAAAAGTTTTTGCAGAGAATATTACGATTCATGGTATGTATGTTCATATATACCAAGAAAGAGAAATAACCAAGTAAGTATTAAAACTTAGTAAGTGTTTGATAGTAAATTTATTAAGCAGAAAACTACAATGAATAAAATGTGTTAATATTACAGCCTGCAACAGATTGTGTTAATATTACAGCCCAAGATTTACGAAGGCAACAAATATGCTCTACATTAACACGAGCATCATTTATGGTAATGAACAAAGCAATGAACTTTAGAAACAAAACAGAAGGCTTGTGCTGCAAGGAAGTTTTAAATAAGAAGTAATTTTTCTTATACCATGGATTCCTACGATACCATCAGATTGCACGATACCATTTAAGAGGTTACAATTTCTGATATGATTGGCATTTGCAATGACCAGCACCAAGGCTCAGGGACAAACAATGCCCGTTTTTGGACTTGAATTAGAAAATCAATGTTTTTTGCACAGGTAATTATATGTTGACCAAAGAGGATTTGGTCAAAAATATCGTACATCAATTAATTTTAAACTGCATTTATAAAAGCATTCATTGTTGAGTAATATTAATTGAATGGAAATATCTGATACAGCTATATGGAATGTTGCAAGAAATGCTGCAAGGAAGTTTTAAATGAGAAGTGTTTCTGATACCATGGATTCCTACGATACCATCAGATTGCGCGATACCATTCAAGAGGTTACAATTTCTGATATGATTGGCATTTGCGATGACTATCACCAAAGCTTAGGGACAAACAATGCCCGTTTTTGAACTTGAATTAGAAAATCAATGTTTTTTGCACGGGTAATTATATGTTGACCAAAGAGGATTTGGTCAAGAATATCGTGCATCAATTAGTTTTAAACTACATTTATAAAAGCATTCATTATTGAGTAATAATAATTCAATGAGAATATCTGATACAGCAATATGGAATGTTAGATGTTGAAACGTATGAATATTTGACATTAGAATAATGATTGCATACATTAGTAATAAATTATTTATAAATAGTAATAAATTATTTATATTGTATGTATTTTTTATATATTGTGATATTTAATTTTAGGAAAATATTATGCAGTTAATTGTTTGTTTGCATAATCGTGTTTATGAAATATATGTATGTTGAAAGTAATATAGATGGTGTTTTAATTAGTTAATAGCAAATTTGCTTAGAATGTTATATATTATAATTATTTGTAATTAAAACGGGAATTATTTAGAAGTGTATTTTGAATAAAATTTAAATATATAATACATATATATAATTTAAATATCGCTGGTTAGAAATTGAAAAATAAAGACACTAATAGAAAATCTTCACAACCAAATTGAATCGAATACTTTTATAAGTAAAATTATCACTTGATTATTTATGATAAATTGTATAAATTTATGCTAAACTTTAATTTTTTTTAAATATAAATTTTAAGGTAAATTTTGATCAATGGTATTGGATCCAGGTTGATCCATGTTGTTCAAATAATAACCACTGCAAAATATTTTTGATGGCAAAACAACGTTTGCCGGGTCAGCTAGTGTATATATATATATATGTATATATATATATATATATATATATATATATATACAGGGCCGGATTTAGAAATTTGGCGCCCAGGGGCACTGACAAAAATGCCGCCCCATCCCTGAAATTTTACGAATTTTCGAACTTTTTTTTAAAGCAATCGCGCTGCTTCAGCTGCGTGGGACAAAATATAGAAGCGCGTAATTGATAAACAATGTTACAGAACTTATATAAATGTAAACAAAATTTATACTTGTTATTATAATATCTTTAAAATATTTTAATTATTTAATATGTTAAAATAATTTAATGTGCATATGTCTTATGAACACTTCTGTCCGCCAAATGTTTCTTTTTCTAATTTTTTTATTAGATCATCGAAACCGCTAATCCTGCCCCCCACAAATTTAAGCAGTTATTTATTCTGTAAATTTTTTCGAATGTTATTGGACGCTTTTTTCTCAAAAACTGAATTATCATTTTTGGCATTTTGACCCGTATCTTCAAAACAGTTGGACCTGCCTTGGCCACTAACTAATCAGCACGTCTCCTTATCAATAGGAATTGAATCATAAATCGGTTGATCCGTGTTCTCGAAATCGACTTGAATAATTAAAAAATATTAGATTTGTATTGATGGGGAGACGTGCTGATTAGCTTTTGGTACAGGCAATTACGAAAAATGGTAATTGAGTTTCGATACTTTTTCTCTGAAACAGCTACGCAGCGCGATTGCTTTGCAAAGAGTTCATAGTTTTCGAAAAATTTCGAAATACAAAAAATGTGTTTTAGCCGTTTTTTTTTCATTTTTCAATAAAATTCAAAGCTCTTTATAAAATGTAATTTTCAGTACGGGATGTTTCAGTAACTTGTCTTAAGGCACAATGCCATGAGTCAATAGTTTTTTTTCGACGCTATAAGCTTAGAAGTGCACAAACACGTATATTTTAAGAGGGCTGGAGAACTGAAGAACATATTTTTCTTAAACTTTCAGCTTGTTTACGGATCTTTATATTAGCCAACCTGCCAAATTTGATAACTTATTAACCAATTTGATAATTTACGTTCGGAGAGGGAGGCAAGGCAAAATAATAATTTTTAGTTAACGTTTATTTCAACCCAAATTTTGCATTGCAATCGTATTATGTTTTGTTAATTAGATTTCTTTAAATAAAAAATGTTGTTAAAAAAGTTGATTATGTCGTATAGAATTTTTTTCTCACTATCCAAATTTTGCCGCCCCCAAAAATTTGCCGCCCTGGGCAGTAGCCCCGATTGCCCCTACTGTAAATCCAGCACTGTATATATATATATATATATATATATAAAATATATACATGCGCGAAATAATCAAATTTTATATCCATCACATCCTCAAGGCAATATTTTGTTAACTTATTCAAATATTTAATTATAGGAACCTGAATTTGTTTGGTCAGAAGAGTATCAAGTTGAAATATTGTCTAAGCATTTCAAAGCTTTCGATCACCTTAGGGAAGAAGGATATTTTATTGGTGAATTTATATGGAATTTTGCCGATTTTAAAACAGCCCAAAGTAAGTAATAATTTATTCAAATTAGAAGTAATTCTTAAATAATAATATAATAAATATTAGAGACAATATGAATTCCAATCGAAATGCTCACCAAAAATATAATATCTTATTTTGAACTTTAATACTGGTGATCTATAAAGTCACTCCAGTTTAATAGCTACGGTAGTAGCAATATACTGCAGTATATTATATATGTCATACAATCACTTCTATCCAAGTAAAGCTAATTACAATGTGTTGTAAAATATTATATACTTAGATACCTATAATTCAAATATTAATACGGCCAAAAGTTTAAGGAAAGCTATTGGAATCATCTATTGTTCCTATATTTTTGCATCGCTCATTTAATATATCAATTGATATGTTGAAACTCAAACTCAAACTCAAGTGCACCTGAACCATTGATTTGTATTATTCGCACTGTTTTTTTTTTCATTGCCTTGATTTATTGTTTTTTTACATACTGTTAAGAACGTGAATACACTTTACTGCATCATGATCTACACTTGCTCTGATAATAAACTTTTACTAGTTAAACTACTAAACGAGTTTAATATTTTCTTTTTCTAAGTATTTATTTATTCACTTTTTAGTATTTAATATTTTGGAGAATTTTCAAAAGTTCAATCTTAAATCTGATTACAGGTTTGAACACTGTTGTACTGAGATGTGTTCGTAGGAATAATCGACACACCTCTTAGACAGCTTTACGAAATTAAACATTGCAGTTGCAAAATAAAGGCCCGAATTGACTAATCATAAATGTGTTGTATTTTATCATGATGACGCATGGCTTCAATTAAATTTTCTAAATTTCCGAAAAAGTCAAAATGTAAAACTCATTTTGTTACTGAATAGTGTAACAGCTGTCAATCTATAATATAAGAAGTACGAATCCATGAAATGAAAATTGCTTCATATTTAGCTTTTTCTATTTCCACAAAGGTAAAAGCGCATTTTAGGAAGCTTGTAGCGACACCTGCTCTCTATCTGAAGGAAATCAGGCTTCAGGTACATTAAGGAAACAGGCACCTTATTAGATCTCTTTTTAGGTCTACTGGTCAAGAAGTTAACAACTTCAAGGGCAAGCAAGTGAGAATATCTGACTACAGAATACAACTGAAAACATTGTATAAAATATTAGTAAATAAATATTATGAATATCTGAGAACAGAATACAACTGAAAATATTGTATAAAATATCCAAAAAAAAAAATATTATTTTCTAATATAATACAATTGCGGTATATTAATTTTTATATATGGGACCAATTCACATAATTGATGACCCAGAACTGAACTCATATAGCGTGTGAGCTGAGGACATAGAGGACATTCCGCATAGAGAACAAGAAAATAACTAACGAATGAAGACATGCAGGGGAACTTTTACCTCCATTTCTGCGTGAAAACCCATCAATACTAGATCGCTAACTCACCAGCGATCATTAATACAGCATCGTAAACTCACCAGAAATTGTCAATATAATATCGCTAACTCACCAGAGATCATCAATATAACATTGCTAACTCACCAGCGATCATCAATACAACTTACTCATCAACACTTTCTAATTGATAGATTTGTTTGTCCTGTTATTCGCAAGAATTGAAAAATCTGGGCTTGCAGCTGCATCTCCTGTCAACGCTCCAAAATTGGTCGGTATATTGTCACACCACTTGGAGATTTCAAACTGCCACCTGCCAGGTTTTTGCATATACATATTGATATTGTCGGACCTCTTGCACAATCAATAGGTTTTGAATACTTATTTACCGTTTTAGATCGTTGCACACGTGGCTTGAAGTAAATTTTCTATCAGATATCATTACAGAAAGTGTAACCTGGGCTTTTCTGTGTTCTTGGATTTCACGTTTGGTGTTCCATCTCAAGTAACAAGCAACTAAATTTCAAGGAATTTTTCACACTCCTACAACAGCTATCATCTACAATTATGAATGGACTCATTACCGCTTATTTTATTAGGACTTCGAGCTTCTATAAAAGAAGACATCAAAAGTAGCAAAATTGAACTAGTTTACGAAGAACCTGTTCGCTTAACTGTCGAAATTTTAACCAGCATATACAAGAAAATACCAAATAGCGTCTTCCTAAGAAACTTGTATCGACATTTTCAAACTATTCATCCGACGCATACATCTACAAATGGATGAAAAAAAGATTTTATACACAAAGAATTAGCTAATGCAAAATTCGTATTTCATAGAGAAGACGCTCTTTTTGCAGCGTTTCTTTATAGTCATAGATCCGCCACCGCAGAAGACGAACCAAGTATGAGCGCAACATTATCTAGCGCTGCAGAGCGTCCAAGCAATATAAAACACGGTTCGAACGTGTAGTTTGTCCCCGATTCTATGAAATTAACATAATTCTATTGACTTACCAGGGGGTATTGCAGCGACATCAGCTATTGCAAAATAGTTGCAAAGAGGTACACTAGCCTGCACAATCTTAATAAACTTAATATGTGGAGGGGTTCAGGCTCCAGGTATTTTAAGGACACATGTACCTTCTTCATAGGATCTCTTTTTTGGTCTGCTGGTCAAGAAACCAACACTTTCGAGGGCTAACAAATGATGTCTACATTGAACAGGTAACAAAATTAAGCAATGCGATTTAAGAAGAAAGCCTAAATTGATAAATAAAATCGAGTTTTATTTTATCATGACAACGCATGGCCATACAATATATTTGGCCCATCCGGCTAAAATTATAGGTGTTTAGTATAGGAATATTTTGCCATAATCTTCGCAAGAAAGTGACCAAATAAAACTTGTATCTCTCACAATTCATGAGAAAATTTTTCAAATTTCGATAAAACCAACTGGTCGTCATTGATAAAAGCATTGGTAAAAGATTTCTGCTAAATGGACAATTACCACATACTATAAAAAAGTTATGATGTTGATAGAAGCCTTGAAATCATCACGGAAAAATTATTACGGATAAGTTTATTATCTGAAGTATAGAAAAACTCATTATACCTTGATTTAGATATGAAAAATGATATAAACTATTCAGATGAATTTATTTATTTAGGTTATAAAAGTAGTTTGCATCGATTCATTACGTATGAAGTTGTGGGATAGTCCCACATATAAAAATTAGGACACACAATTATAAGTGAAAAATAAAGTTTATTATAAAATATAATTTACATAATCTTCTTGAATATTCTTCGGTTGGATTCCCTAGTTTTTCGATGTGTTGGCTGCTCGACCCGTAGAGGATAAAAGAGATCGAAAAAGGTAGCTGCTTTCGTTATATAACTTGTAGCCTGACCCCCTCCACACATTAGGGTCCCTAATAGTGTGGAGGCTAGTGTAGCTCTTTACTACTATTTCTCAATAGTAGGAGAGCTAGTGTTGCTGCAATACCCCCCTGGCGATCAATAAAATTGTGTTAATTTTATTGGATGTGAGGATGAACTACCCGTCCAAACCGCGTTCTATATGGTTGGAGGTGTGTTCTGTAGCGCGGGATGGAGTTGGACTCGTACTTTGGTCGTCCTCTGCGGTG